TGCCATTTGCCTGGTTGGCGATGCAAGTAAGCCCGATGTGTGCTCATTCCAGTATCACTTATCCTTGTTGATACCAGTTCTCAATCATAACTTCCCGCTGATGTGGGGATGTTCAAATAATCAGAGAAGTTTGTCTCCAACTTAGCTTTGCAAAGACAGCTTCCTGCCAGCCTTATTTTCCACGAGGTCTCTTCGACCCACGGTCCTCTGTGAGTCCCTTCATTCTCTAGTCTGTGTGAGTGAATCAAATAGACAAAGCAGACTTTGCGTACCTGCTTGTATTAAGATACTTTCACGATCGGTGACATTTTGCTGGTGCAGACTCCGCCAGCTAATCTTGCCAACTAGCATCCCTTTGGTTACACCAGTTTACTTCCTGTCGTTAAATTCTCCATGTATCTGTTATGTGCACAAACCCAAATGTACTTCTCAGCCTGTCATTTAATATCGACTTCAGCTTTGTGGGTGTTATTGGCTTTTGCTAATGATTTGAGTAAAAGTGATAGCTGAATGTCAACTTCTTTCGTTGTAGCCACTCTCGTGCTGGTCGCACCGATTGTCGACTCCATTCATGTCCCCTTCATTTCACTTGAGGTATGCTATTCCCCCCTTCTCGTTCAGTTTTCTCAGCATCTGCTACCCCATTATGATATCTTGTCATGCTCAACGCTGTTCGCAATGCCTAGGGATTGTGAGACCTTGAACCGAGCTTAATTCACCAGCCGTGGTGAACAGATCCCTAATGTGGGCTCTGCAGGCATGCGAATTCGAGAAGTTGGGTGCCAAGGCCTTAACAATGAAGAAAAATTCACATCGCGAACTTTTTTTTTCATTTGAAATCCTCCCTTTGAGTGCCGGTTATCTTCTCGTTTTTTCCCGCCTAGTATAATCTCTTCTGGTGCATGATCTTCGAGTTTTCATCACTTCGTTGTCCTTAGTCTCTCCAGGACTAGTGCGAGTGACAGTCCATGGTGCACAGTTTTTGATTACGGTGTGCTGGCGGCATTCTTACCATGAATTAGTGGTCGCTCGCGTCGTTTACCTTATATAAACAATCACTAACACCTTCCCAAACGTTGAAATTAGATTTGACCACTCCTCAGTCAACTCGATGCTTAATAGCTTGAGCTCATTCTGTATATACCATGGGTCTGCAGCTTCTAGACTATGATATAATCCAGTCTCCGAACGTTTGTGAAAACAAGCACACCACTTTCGCAGATTCTCTAACTCTGGAAGCGATAATTTAAACTCTACAGTCGGGGATGGCAGCTACATCTAGCTGGTTGCGCTGTGTTTGTGCTTGACGCTTTTATCAAGTCCATCAGTCATGAATTCCTATTAAGCCGAATTTTCCCACTAACAGTCGACCTGCCTTTCAGCTTGTACAGGATAGTCTCAGTGTCATTCTCCGACGGGAAACTGTCTTCGATACTTCGAACCTATTTGACCCGAGCCTAAGTGTGTATGATGTCGTCTATCGGCTCCTTTTTGCTAAGCTGCTTCACCAGTCGGACTAGAAAGCTCTCTTCTATGCCTTATAAGACTTTGTGCCAATTTATCTGTTCATTTGTAAAGTTGTTTTGCCTAAATAAATTATTGACTAAACATTGCATTAACGGGACAGGGCGTTCTACACGTACTGTCTTTTTGGTCCTTTCCTTTTAGTTTCTGATCACTTTCGGTGTTCATTGGCCTTGCCAATCCTTGACCAGGAAGACAGGACGCTAACTTGGGTCAAGCCAACATGCGTGCAGGTCCCAGACCAGTCCTATTCATGTGTGTATGTGTAACTTAGTTAGCACTGTCCGAGTTCTGGTAACACTATGACATCCCAGCTCCAACCGTTCCTTGGGAAATGAAATGGGTTGCGAGGTGCGCAAAGCACTGTAGGCTGGAATTTGGAAATAAGCCACCAACTGGAATCTGCCTGGGCGGCCTGTTGTGAAATTTGTCCTCGCAGGGTTAGGAAGGTCTTGTTGCGCTATCGCAGTCTGGTTGTTTTGTACCGCTTAACAAAACAGGAACAACATCTGTTGGTGACATACCTTAATTGGGCAGCTGAGACTCCATAAGTGCTTGGCCATCACGTACATCTGCGTGACAAACGTTAGGAAGCTGAGACCCCGCCAGCCGCTGCACGCACCCGCGCCTCCATAAGGTTTAAATTGAACAAACCGCTGACACATGGGAGATAGGGGAGACTGTTATGGCGATCCGGCGTCTAGTTTTACCACCAAACACAATAAAACACACGCAAAGTATCCTGAGGCGACGCCAATTGCTGTCGCTTGGGGGGGGCTGCCAACTGATGGTATAAATCCTACTTGGCACTGAAGGTCATTAATGAAGACGAAATTTCGAGTTCCAGGTGTACGCATAAGTGAAGAAGAAGAGTCGAACACCGGAACACTTCGTTTATTGTCCTGAGCTTCCAGACTCGTACAGGACTCTTGCACGAGTCTGAAAGCTCAGAACAATAAACGAAGTGTTCCGGTGCTCGACTCTTCTTCTTCACGGAAGGTCATGTTACAACAGCTTACTTATGCAGCCTTCATTGCAACTCTCAGTTGTGTAGGAACCCAGAATCCTTTTTGGGGCTTGGTTCGCTCGAGGGTGTGGGTCAAGTCGTGTACGGCAACCGTAGACAGCCTATTTACCCCTGTCATGAAGAAGAAGAAGACACGATCGCCGGGACAACAGCTTTATTAGCCTGATGTTTCGGATTCCTGCTCGAATCCATCAGCAGAGATAGATCATTTAAGGAGTCGCACAGTAGTGTGAGAGATTGACATCAACCTAAGAGTATGAGAAACACCCTACGTACACTTTCTGGCTGATGGAATAATTTCCCTTGGACGTATTGACCAATAGGGTCATAAAACAATTTTTATTGACGCAAGACACACGATAGGGTTGTCGGCCATGTTATGACCCGCCTGGTACTTGAAATCCCGTGGAGCGTATATGCACTCGACCCTGATCCCCAATACCAAAGCAGCAGACAAAGAAAACACGGCCGGTCACGGAAAGTGTATTAGGAAAACACTGCAGGTCGAGTGCATACACGCTCCACGGGATTTCAAGTACTAGGCGGGTCATAACAAATTGGCGACGCAGGTGAGATCCAGTGATTGGTTGGCTCTTGTTTTTGGGTGTGTAGGCACTCCCAACATGCCAACTCCAAAGAGCATACGTTCAGAGCATCTACTGGAATAGGAATACCTATATCTACGTTGTGCAGCTGTGCAAGCACTTACCCCACAGATTAACAGAATAATCTTAGCTTGACCTGAGTCCCTGGTTGTTTGGAGCGTCCGCGCATGGCCACCCAAAATGTTCACATTTGTAGACTGCTAGGGCAATATAAGCGAAGGCCTGATACGTCGAAAGACTGTATTTCGTGGGTGGTTTGCGACTCGGAAAAACATGGATCAGCCAGACCAGTGGATGTTCATCCAAGTTCTTTCTATTTTGTAAAAGTGGAGATTCCTATGATCCCTAATCGTGATTTCCAGGCTCGTGGAAATCTCACAATTGCGTCGTCGGCAATGATTAGGTATATGAGCGGGGCAAGAGAATGCGAACTGCTGTTTGACGAACTTGCCAGTTTTAACACTTGCTTTGCCGTCAGACGCACGCATCCCATCTAACAATATTTCTAGCATTCTTCGCTACCTGACTGGCATCGGTGCCGAACTTTTTTCCAAAATGAGCTGTCCTCTTACTAAGAAATTACGGGTAGGGAGTGCTGAACGATGACCAGCGTAGACATTCCAGCAGCCTCAACTCCTCGGGACGGTACACGTCAGCGGATGTAATCCTGTCGATAAAGGGCTGAACAGAAACTCTACCGAACAATAGCTACTTTTGAAGATAATGTGAGCAGTTTTCCAGTTTTTCCTCACCCCGCGCATACACTTTACCGCGTCGACCTCCCGTGTGACACGCCCAGGGGTAGCGTGTCCGGACATACTATCCTGGCAGTCAAGCCACGCAGGACACGACACAATCCACACGGTCTGGAAAAACCAGCCTGGTCAGCCAATGACAAGTGGTCCCACGCGATGCATGCGGCCAACGCCCGACAGTAACTTTTTACGGATACCCTCAGCTAGACAGGCGTTCACCCTCTGACCATGGTACTTAATGGCACATAAAGCTCGCCACCAAAAGTTGGTGTGGATGACAACACATCAGTTCGGACGCAGAATTTAAACGGTTTCTTTGTGATTGGGCGACTAACGATGGGCGCATCAGCCGACAAAGATAAGTGGCCCACCAACGCTTGGCCTACACGTTGCCCACGATTCCACGCGAACTAGGCCTCGAGAAGAAGACGGGGTAAGGGATCCTACACAACTGAGTGGCGATAAAAACTACACAACGGAGACACTGCAACCCCCAGTGCTGAGGAGGAAGTTATGTCATCGACTGTCGGTCTCCCAGCGACGACTAATGGCGCTGATTAATGATATTCTGAGAGTGCACTGTGTTGTATTCAAGGAGGGAACTAAGCGCCGGAACGATATCGCGCTTTTTGCCCTTCTTCGCCACTTAGGTCCCTATTCCTTTTCAATGTACTACCGAATACAAATGACAAAGGGAAGTGTAAATGGGGTGCTTGTGAAGCCGAGAACTGAAATTCAAAACGGCAGCACGAGACAACTCTGATAGCCTCCAAGGTTTCATTTACTTCCATAACTGACATACAAAAACTTCTTATTCCACAGAGGGGTTTTGTGCCAGAAGCCAGTAACCGACAGTTTGCAAGATTTCCGATTCTACTGCCTAGCAAAGACAGAAGAAGCCGCGAGGGCGGGGAGGAGTCGGCAGCAACGTTTAGACTTCAATGAAGCAAAAGATACATTTGGAGACTATACAGAGGGAGGTGTGCGGTGTAGCTATAGGAAGGATAAGAGAGAACGCTGGCGAATGTGTCCGCCAGATCAAAGAGAAGTACAAAAATATAAAAGACGAACTCATAAAGGTAGTGCCAACTATGTTTTTGGTTTTATGTCCAAACACGGCGCAACAAGAGCACCAAGGGACAGGTCTGGGGCAAATAAAGTGGGATTTCGATGGTCAACTCCAGTTGACAAACCACCAGCGGGACCTTCGATGTGCGTCACTGAAAAGTAGAACAGCTCAAGTTAGATACCTGTGACAAACTACTATCTTAGCACTTAGAACAGTTGACAGGACAGGGCATAGAAGCTGGAAAACGCGCGCAGAAGGCGTCTGTCACAAGCCAGGCGACAACAACGGGCCTCCTAAATTCGATTCGGGCAGACCAGCGCAGAGCTATCGCAGCCACGACTGGCAACAACACCAGTGAAATTGATTAGTTCCACCACTTGAATAGCAAAGGGAACCTGTGTTTGTCTGATCGGCAGCTCCACAGAAATGAGAACTGCAAACCTCTTGAGTATGGAAGACAAACTGTTAAATAGTTTAGGAACAAAAAACATGCCGTAGAATGGAACTTCGGAAATCAGCACACTTCCTAAGATAGGTTGTTAGATTCGAGGTACTGCTAATGCATAGAGGAATAAGCATTTCTCAGGTTTGGAAGTACAAGCCAGCCCTTCATCTGGATGAGTCATAAGCGTGGCTGTAACAGCTCAGGAGCTGCCTGATGCAACAAAAGTTGGGCAGGATGAAAACGGTGCATACGACTTGTCCACGTAATATCAAGTCCACTGAGAGAAGAAAACTAGCGTGAGCCTACCTTCGTGTTCTTTTCGTACATGAGTGCGCAGTTCTCGAAGATGGAAAAATTTCTTTTCACACACCAGGCACTGGTGACCTTTAATGCCTAAAATAGAAAAATTCCAAATGTAACAAAAGTTAGAATGCCCAATACTGCTAAGAGATGAACCTATGGGTACAGTTGAGGCGCGCGGGCTTTTCTGTCAACAAACGAGTATGTTATAGGGCGCTGTGGGATGCCTGCTGTAGATTAGAAAAAATGGCACCTAAATGTGTCCTTAAAGTTACGCGAATGGGGTCCTCGTTAAAATTCTATCGAGCAGGCGCAACACGGTTGGTTATCTTTAGAAATTACAATTAGTAGCCTTGAGTAAAGTCAACCTCAACGTTCGTAAAACAACAGAATACTCATGAGTTTGATCTGAGTTTGTACAAAGTTGGTATTGAATTACACTTAAAAACTGGAACAAATACACTAGTGATGAGAAAACGATGATAACCTCGAATTACAACCGAACAGGGAAAGAAGATATCACTCCCCGCATAAAAACTTCATGCAGAATGTTAGAGTCGTGATGGAGAGCCTTATGCAAAGTAGCATCGACAGCACGAAGGCCGTCACATACTACTAAATCAGATTACAAAAACACTATCACTGTAATACTATAACTGAGACAAGGCGTCGCAGTGCATGCGTGGAGCGAGCAGCGCAGAAAATGTAAATGAAATACTATAACAGAACAAGTCACTGAGAGATGTGTACATTAGGCCCACATTTGTCGTGAGAATCGGGGAACAACCCAAGAAAATGGGCGGGGCCCAACATCGTCAACCACGCGGACAGACAAGATCGGTGCGCTGGGGGAGCAACATGAAAAACACCCATGCGAAATGGATCTTTATGGTGAGTAACCGGCAAAGGCAAACGAGCTGAGAAAAGAATCAGTGGGACCAAAGCGTAGGGAAAAATTTCCCAGAGGGTCATGACGAAGAGAAAGAGGGGGCTTACGCAGGTGGACGTGTCGAATGTGCCTTCGGACGGTAGATTCGGCTGAAAACACCTTTTTACAAATGGCGCAATAATGCTCTCCCAATTCTGCAGGAAAAATGAAATGTCACCGGATCACCAAAGAGAATGACGAAAGCTCTGTCAGACTTCGAAGAAAGAAAATTAGCAGGTTATGGAGGATCGGAAAACGTTAAAAAATTATCAAGCTCATACTGCGTGCCTGTACTTATGCTATAAGTGCGGGGCCAAGCCCCGGTCTAACCGTCACCGAAGATGTCGCGAATTGTGCCCTGCCACGCACGACAACCTGCAGTAGCAGATCTGTGCAGCTTCACTCGCCCTCTTCCATTGCAACGGAGACCAGAGACTGAAGGGCCAAGAAGCACCTTCATGTGGTAACGAATTGTGTTGAGACAGGTCTTGATTTGACCTCACATTTGACGCTTCCAGATAGGCATCGGGGTCGCATCATGGGCACCAACACTGACCTCACGGACAGGTAACGGAGAAAGTGGACAAACCACCTCAGTCGTCTGGTATGGATGGCCTGCGGTATGCTCACGCTGTTATCACGGCAAGCGTGAACTACCTGATATGAGACAAAGTCGGCGTACTTCACTCGAAAGATGATTCTCAAACGGAGGTGGTCAAACACCTCCAGCTTTCGTCAATCTTCAAAGCATACATCCCGACTTTCACAACCGTATAAGAGGACTGCTTGCATGAATGTCCAACACAGGTGGCTCTTTGTGGCATGGTGATGTTGCGTCGGATATATCGACAGTCCATTTAAACACCTGCGAACAGCATCAATTCGGGGACAGATATCGTTCTTATTCCACCCACCGGGCAGCAGCTTCATTGCGAGGTATCCGGAGCTGTCCAAATCCTCAAGTTCACAGCCGCAAATCCCAGGGAGCCCTCTCCCAGTTAGAAATGCGGTCCGAACGTACCTTGGTCTTCCCAACGTGTATGAATAAACTGACTGACTTAACGACCAAATCAGATAGTAGCACTAAATTCATCGCAGTTTGATTCCGACAAGGCGGTATTGTTAGTTGACAGGGTCATTTAGCCGACATCCGGGTGCGATTTCGACATCATCGAAATCTCCCGGTGCCTTCCGAGTCTGGTAAACGGCGCATCTGAACTAGAATAGCAACGGAATACCCCGTCGACAGCCAGACAATATATCGAACGGCTGAGGAATTTTATGGACCAGAATTCGTGCACTGACAATGGGATAGCAGGTCGTTAAAATGGAGATACTTTTTTGTCCGCATGTGAAGATCCATTGTCCACCGGAGGAATTCACGATGAACGGAGCAGAATGTCGCAGCGATGTCAGCAATGTAGACAGTCGTCAGCTGCTGGTAGCTATGGCGGAATTCAAGAAGCCGTATTGCGATCATCCAATGGGTGTATTCACGACCATCTTTGAACCCAGCATGGCTTGGTTTCGTCTTCGGGCAACATGATCTGAAACCGCCTGAGAATGACAATGGCAAAGACTTTTGCGGCAACATCGACGTGACCTATGCCACAGCAGCTTCCTCGTCCCGGTCACCGGGAGAAATCTCATCTTCTTGTAGTATGTCAATTACCTCGTGGAACCAGGGCGCCGGAGTCGACGCAAAACTTATTGACTTCTGTGGGGATGCCGTCCGCTCAAGGTGCCATATCTTTTCGCGATCGCAGTATGGCATTGGCGATTTCTATCGACGAAGCGGGTCACAGGACTGTTCATGGGCTGGTTAGTGATAAATCTCCGCTGCTCAGAAAAGAGAGGGGTTATGGATTGGTGATTGACATCCGGAAGGTGCCTGGAGCGCCCCAGCCAGCGTTCAATCCCGGTCGAGTTTTCGACGGTAACGTCGGCATTCACATCGCGAGCATATTTTCACAGAGGCATATCACTAACGTGGTGAATAATTTCGTAGAGCTTTTGAGTGTCACTGACGTTTGAGACCAGCCTCTTAAATATCGTAATTTCAGCTAACAGTTTGCTTGGTCATCTCTAACTGATTTTGCTGTCATTTCCTAGAAGAGGAGAACAAGGGATCCCCATTGTGGAATCTAGTCCGATCTGGCTGGGCAGAGGGCTGTAGGGTTAAATGATCTGGTAATTGCGGTGTCGCTAGGTGAATCCAAGGGTTCACCTAGCTGAGGACCATTTGCTATCGCCATTTCCTCCTACTCAGGTTACGTAGCAAGGCCGGAGTTTTGCGCTCAGAGACCTACCCGTGCCGGCATGGCATAACTTTGCGACTTCAAGGGGTCTTGCATACGACAATCCGGGAACGGATGAGGGGCGAACCTTCCGGCATGTGCGAACGATAACAAGTTCTGACCCATACCGTTGGCGGTTCCCCTGTCCCGCGAAGATCTGCTATCGTGAACTCAGTTAAAAAGCCTTTAACTGACTATAATGCAGTCATTTTTGCTCGGCCATTATTTGAATACTAGGCTAGCAGATGTTTGCGGTGGTGATGCAAAAGCGTGGTAGTGGGAAACACCCAGTTGTGGTTCCTAGAAATCGACAGTTTTTCCCCACTGTTACAAATAGAGGCAAGCCGAAAGCGTCCAACAGTGTGATTGTTTGATGAGCCGCCTGGTCTACTTCTATAGCTTCGGACCCTAACAACAATAAAGCGGGTTAAAAAGAGGAGTATTTCAATCCGTTCCTGCAGGTAAGGGTAGATTTCTTCAACGTATTGTATTAAGTCCTGATAATCTTAACACTCTGTACACAATCACTGTGCGGATTTATTGAAGTTTCAGATATCATGTGACTGATATTAGTCTGTTTACTTACTCGAACTAAACTTAGGCTACGCAAAGAGCAAACAGTTCTCAGAACAGGCTTGGTAGATCGGAGGGCCATTAGGTCAGACGTGAAAATGACGATGAAGCACTTCGCTTTACTGAATCGCTCATGAAAAAAACTAACATGGGCAAAAAAACTACGGAGGATAATGAGGCCCAGAGTGGAGAAAAGAGGTCCCAGTTGAGAGGCTTACCCTTTCGATTGCCGTTTACTTGCAGGTACACCTGTTCGTGAGCCAGCGAGGTTTGGGTGGAAGTAACTGGAGTCAAAGACGAAAGCAGAAAACCGTGATGCAGAAAATTCTACTTATGGAGTTAGTTGCAACAGCTTTCGGCAAAATAGCAAACTTGCGAAAACCAAATAAAGACCTCCATGAACTCAACAAGTAAATACCGTGACCACAAGGATAAACCGAAACCACAGCGAGGCAGGTGGTGGCTAAACATTCTGAACGACATGAGATGCATTTGTAATGAGGACCTTTAAGGCCCGTATAATCCAAACGGCATTGAAAGGCTCCTATTCGGGAGGCCTCGCGCTAACTGCCCGGGAGACTAGAATTAGTGTTAAGGTTGGGGCTACGACAGGGGAATATTTACCCTTCGTAGAATTTGGCGAAAGGTCACCCGCATTATGCGGGAGATTCCTATCCCCGAGCCCTACCGAAGATTCTTAACCGATTACAGGTTTTGTCCGACTCAAAAATTGTGATGCTACGATGGCATAAGTGTGAATGGAGACAAGAAAGGTATCAGAATACCTAATAGCCAGCACGTATTCAATGACTATCACGCATGGCAGTTTGATGTCAGAATTTCAGGAGGCAATCGTAAAGGTTTAAAAGAAGATTAACTATCGACCTCTTTCTCATGTGTCTGATATACTTGCGTGCACCAGCACATGTAAACAAATAAACATAGTTTAGGGCAACTCGTATAGAAAACACAGCAACTGTTGGTTTTATCTGGGTGGTTTATTGAAAATCCACGGACGGAGGAAATGGGCTGTGTCGTCTCCGCATGACTAGGGAGGGGGGGGGGAGAGGGAAACCATTAGTCTTAGATGTGAAATTTCCTTGGGCAGGGATTCCGTCAGGATAGACCTTTCACAATTCCCATGTCCACGTTTTCTGAGGAGTCTGTTGTTACAGCTGCCTCAAGTTGATTGAGGCGCTAAATATTTAGATGCAACGATTGCTTGATATTAAAACGAGCAGCGCAATCAGCCTCGTTTCCAGTGCAAGGATAAACATGTGTAGGAAGGAAGCCGTATTTACATGAAGTACTCTTGTGGACTTAATGCGAATTTTAACGTCTTATCGGCCCCTTGGTTGAAGGACATAAAACGCCAGCATGTTCGGACTGTTGCGACCACAGCTGTCACGAATTATGGTTGGCTGCTTTGGACTACGGTAAAGACACCAACCTTGTAGAAACGGGCCACTCGGACCTACAGAATGCAAAATGAATGGTGAACGGGATGGGCGAATCCGCTGGTTTACCGATAAGATGCCGTGTATATTGAACATCTGTCCTGCCAGCCCTCATCTATCGTTGCGCAGGTTCGGATATATAAGTCGAAGACAGGCGAAAGCATCAGCAATTCGATACTTGTTGTTTGAAAAGCATCGTTCTAGTGAAGCATCGAGGCGTAATTGCAAACCAGGTTGCCACTAGCTGGGAATCTGCGAAGGTATTCTAGGAAATCTAATGTGGCCGAAGTGGGCTGAACGCGCCAATCTGAGGGATCATTTTTCAGACTGTTGGCTGCCGATCTTCGCAGTTGGAAGAGAGTGGGCTCAGCTCCCCAGGTACACTGCCTCTAATCGCCATGACCGGAGAGGAATTGTGACAAAAGTGGCTGGGCCAAACTGCATCAGGTTTCTGCGACCGAAGTAAATCCTAAGACTGTTTCCGCTGCCAGATTCGCCATGAAAGTAACAAAGCTGTGACTGAGGAGAACTATTGCAAGAGCATTACGAATTGTGCTCTCTCAATGAGAGTTCTTTACAGATGCAACATCATACATCCGCTGGTGCCTGTACATCTGAAGGAAGTTAACGAGTTTCTTCGGTAGAGGCGTCAAAGCCAGTAAGGAATTGTAAAAACAAAAAACTCCCCTACGCTGGCGGGGGCCATGAGAATCAGCGAGAGGTAAGCAAGTAAAATCAGAACAGTAAGCATAAAGGCCTCTGCAGTGACTGACAGTTCGACGATCGCGAGCGACGACGTCCGCCGTGTGCACCAGGGGCGGGGCATGGCACCACTGAATTAGTTCACAATAACGGCAGACTTGCGATGCATCTACCGCACCCTTCCTTCCTCACCTACCAGGCTTCGATAGCCGGACAATGTTCTGACAAGTAACCAAGACAGAATGGTGGTTAAGACCCTCCACGTGGTCTAATGAGACTACTGAGCACCCACCGCTGGTATGTCAAGAGGAAACATTATACGACTATTCTACTAAGGTTAGCGGTGTTCAATTCAAGTGACTGCGAAGAGGTTCAGGATGAACCCAGAGAGTCATACACTGACCGTACGTCATATTTCGGTCGTATGCTCCCAAGGAATTTCCCTACTACTTTTGTTCCATCGAAATATAGAAACACGCCGCGGCATAGACACTAATTGCCGAGAATCCGTACAGGCAGATGCCAGAGGACTCAGAAACGCAGTGGTCTTCTAGCATCGAAGAGCGGTCGCTAGACAAGTGGGACGGCAAGCACACAGCTAAAACAGCTCCAGATTTCCAACTCCTTACAAAGCGCGCGGAGATTCACCGAAGGGGAAAGTGGGCCAGTCTGAAATTTATGCACTGAAGCGACACGGTGAAATAATTTAGAGGACAGCAGACAAGTCCTACCCACGTGGACTGACTTCGCGTGCCGGCGGAGCTCGTAGAGGCGAACGAACGGTTTGCCACAGATCGAGCATTGGTAGTCTGTAATGCCTATGAAGAAATGTACAAGTTAGGGAGTAAGTAGGCAAATGAGGACCAGTGAATAAGACGTGCAAGGAGTCGCGCTACAAGTTTTGGCAAATACCCTGTTCTATGATGAGGACATGTTGATAGGTGAAAAAGGAAAGGAAGATTGAGAATAAAGGGAAAGTGAGGAGAATGAAAGGAAAAATGGGTGGTGGAAGAAAAAAAGGAAGAAGCGGTCGAAGCACTGTCTGAAAGGCGCCAGTCTTCCAAACTGGGGAATGAGTCAGTAGTCGACAGAGCCTGAACAGCGTGCATTTCACATCAAAAGGTTCATTAGCTGAACACAGGAATTTAAGTGGAATTTATAATGCTTCAGGAAGCATAAACAACGTCTTCTGGACAAGAAATACCCATAAATAGTCAAATAGGCATATATGACGATAGCCCCTCCACCACTAAAAACTAAATGACGAAGCGAAGTTTCCTACTTCCGTAAGGCCAGTCGGTAATCCCCAGACAGTTAATTTTGCATGTGAATGATAACAGATTTACCCTTGTGATAAAAGTTCTCATGTTTTCGGAGGTAATACTTGCAGGAGAAGCCTTTGCCGCACTTGAAACAGGGAAACTTGTGCAGACCTAAACAACAGGCGGCAAAAAGGAGGTAGTTTCAAAAGTGGCGTTGAATGCGTAAAGGCCAGTCGCTGCGCGCAGAGTAACAATGCAAGGAATTAATAGGAACATATAAAGGTTGGATGAAACAGAACACGGGTCAACAGGCTGCCCATAATCCGAGCATCTGCAGCTGTAACAGGACTTACCTTGCTGGGAGCCGTCCGTGGTCATACATACGGCCAAATTCGCTCCAGGGAGGGGAGGCAGATTGTCAAAATTGAATGCCTGTGAATCTGAACAAGGCGAAAGCGAAGGAATTTGTCAATTTGCAAAAGAAAGGGAGAGAAAAGACAAATGAAATGCCATGAGATAAGGCAAAATTGATCTCCCCAGGAAGGAAGAATTCAGAAGTTGCGAGTCGGCAGACTCAGTCAATTGAACATACGAACATTTTGGTTTAAAGGTGGAAAACCTCCAGCTTTCTAGGAAGTAAATCGAAAAAAGGCTAGGAGCAATGACAGCAGAGATGAAACGCCAGGCGCCTTTGAAAAACTACTATTTATGTTGGACGGTGGGACCTAAATACATGCACTGCACATCAACAACCTTCCGCACAGTTCCCTAAGCCTTAACCGACATGCGCTCCAATTCTCAACTGTAACTCGGAAAGTGTCACATACAGAACATAGGCACTTATGCATCCAAGAACACAGATGGCTTAGTGTGGCTTCACCATTACAATAGGCACCCAAGTTAAGCATTCTTAACGTACGGAAACAACCATCAAATGTCTTCTGTGGATGGTCTAAATTGGTGACCTTACGTGTTCAAACATTTGCATAGGGCCCACACAGACAACGGCCAAAAACGAAGTTTGCATAGGATGTCACACGAAAAAAAATCAACGAGACATGGCGAGGAGTCCAAATTACTGATGGAGTGTCCAGATTAGTAACGATCAACTCAGCTTTGCACATGGGGACTCTAATTGCGGTGGGTCGTTTTTCACACTTGCCAAAGAGGAGGCATCAAACACACGTCCAACAAAACAATCAGAAACAGGAAGGGTCTAGTTGCATTTTAAATGTGGCACAAACCCTTTGCACGCGAAAGAGATACACAACCAACGAAGGCCGCCGTATCAACTCGCAAAAACGCCCAAGAGCAAAATGAAGGGTCACTGACTTGATTCCGGCGTGGCACTGGATACTTCGAAATGACGATTTCGTAAGGTCGCACCAAGCTGAAATCCCTGCCTAACTATTAACTGACTGCCGAAAATGGAAAGTATCCGATTTTTGTGGATGCTACGTTGATAATCACGGCCAAAACAGGGTAGATGGTAAATTTTGATATTTGAAATGCATCTACTCTCTTGCATGCCTCTACAGGTGTAGTTAATAATTCATATCCACAGGTACTGTTGGGCGCCCTCTACTAATCACAAGCATCCTACCAAGTGGAAGGCGAAGTCGTAGCAAAATTCGTCCAAGTTTCCTGCCTATGATGGTAGCACCCGGAAGGTGGAGGTTTTAGGTGGAGTCAATATTTAAAACACAAGGAACGTCTCGTTTCAAAACCGGCTTATCTTTAAAGGACAGGCGTAAACAGAAAGTTCAGCTAGTTTCTAGCCTACGGTAAAGAAAAGTGCAGGACACCCGATAGGAAGGGGTTGTGCGTCATAGTTAAGTGGGACGTTCTCGGCTGTTACCACCTGCATTATTTCCCCTGGGTACCCTACAAGTCAAAAACCTACTGAAAGCTAATCGTCGCATGGGGAAGTCGCGTTTGAGGCCTCATCGATGGACCGGATTTCAAGTGTGCTGCCCGGAACTCATCAATAAATAAGGGGAATCCACGTAGACCGATGGAGAATGCACACTGAGATATGAACATCGGAAACATATGGCTAGGAGGTTGGGAAAGGAGCATGCACTTACTAAGCAAGTTTGCCCGAAGGCAGGGAATAATGCTCTACAGGTGCCACCTCGGATTCGAGATGGGACGAGGTAGATTCATTCCATTAACTCATTCGTGCCGGTCGCAACCTAGAATTCGCATTTTCTGCAGGTGCGTCAGTCACTGCATTTTTTCTCTTACATGGGGCAAGGACTCGGATAGTAGCTGAGTCAACGCACTTATTCGGATCTGCTGAGCCGTCTTGGCGTTTCTTTGAGCTTTCCGCGGACTTCTACTTGACCAAGAGACTATTTTTTCAAAAGTATTTTGTCTTAGGCCATGGAAAGTTAAACAGAGAAAACAAAATTTTTTGCAGGCGCTGGGCTCCGGATACAAACCAAGGTTCAATTCAGGCCCATTCTTACATTTCTACCCATATTTAAAGCCCCATGTGATCTGCATAAGAGTCGACTGGGTCGTCGAGATTCGAGCCATTCGTGCTGTTAGAATGGTCGCCATTGCTAGATTGAAGGAGTACAAAAAGCTGCCTTAGCTAATGCTGCATTATGCAACTTAGTTTCCAGTTCAGCAGCAGCAGCAGCAGCAGCAGCAGCAGCAGCAGCAGCAGCAGCAGTCATTAGCGAGGCTGCAGTAGTCATCGATGCCGCTGCTGTCATCGCGGCTGGGTGTACTGTAACGCCGAATGCCACCATCACCGTTGACACAACGCCCGCCACGGCAGAAACGCAAAAACCAGTAACAATAAAGGCAGAATGGACGACGACTGCTGTGGACGACGGCATCAACGTAAGACGAGAATGCAGCAATCATCGCTGTTGTTGAATTCGCTGGCCGTAGCGGACTCTGCGACCTACGAGCAAGAGCTGCCGTCCTTATCAACGTCGCCTTCGCAGCTATTACAAACATTGCACCGCACCTATCTGCGTCCATGTTCTGCTACTATGGTAGTTGGAGCGGCTGCAGCCACGACCGTCTACTACGACTGCTACAATCTTTAGGTGCACTGTGTGTGTTTTCTTGTGCCTGCAATTATCTCAATGCGACACGAGTACAATGGGGACAAGGGAGTAAGGATGTATTCTGAGGTAGATCGACAAGAACTTCGCTCCGCCAGCTGATATCGTAGTCTCTGCAGACTACCGACCTAACTCTGAGGCACATAAGGGGGATAGCGGTTGGTTGTTGGTTCATAGCTCCAACACCAAAGGACAAAACACCTTCGTTCGGAGACACCAACCAGGTCGGTGTAATCTAGCCCAGTGAGATGATTTAATCAGCGCGAAGTACACATAGCAAGCTGTTATTTTTCCCCTTCAATTCATCTCTGGCCGTCTTACTATCTTATTCGGTCTATTTTATTCAGCACAGAAAGACGTATTTTTTATTCCAGCACCCGATTATGGGCATCGTGGGAAAGCCAACAAAGCCGGAAGACGAATCCGGGCATTATCGGAAAAAAGGACTATTACGAATCCGCGAACAGAGATCACTGGAATCTTGAGGAAAATAAAGACTCGTGTTAAGTTCACAATAGCAGTATACTGAATTGTCCGTGATTCCAACAGTAGCCGCCTGCGGCCGATATGTCGTACTTGCAATTTCTCTGCGCCCTTAAAAAAGCATATCGAAAAACACATTTTTACGTTCAAAAATGCCCGCTTGCAGGTACCGAGTCGAACTTAGATATCAACCGAAAGCTTGCTATTTGCTGTAGGCCTTTTTAGACATGGACCTCCTATCATCGGAAGACAATTGAAAAAACTGAAGTACTTTGTCTTAAGACACGATTAAATGCTAGTAACGATTCGGAATTAATCACCGCGGCATTCCTCTGCTACCTTCAAAATGATAGAAAATTCTCAGTCGGTGGCAAAGGCGGAGGAAGCGCTACTTTCGCCAATCTAAACAGGCGTGAATTCTATAAGTTCTCATCCTAGTACCCTCATGACCTGGTAGGTACTATGGCGTTTTTGCCGGTCTCGTATGGTAAAAAAATGCAATGCGTTATGTGTGAATACATATGTCCTTCAGCTTGGAGATGCTTTCGTTTGTTTCTTTGATTTCCCGTCAAAAAGGCTCGTTTTATCATCCTGTGAACATCCTATTACTACAAGCAATGATCCTGGTCGAACAGCCTACATTCGCTGACCATTTTGGACTTCGAAGATCTTTATTCCTTCGATATCCGTGCTGATGATTCTTAGAATACGTCCTGGTTGACCACGATAAACATGCAGCAGCAGTTTACAGTTCAGACCACTCTATCTTATTGAGTCCTCTGCAGACTTGTTCCAAGCATAAACAGGACCTGTTAGACGAACCAGGACGAACAATTACTAGACGAAGCATTCCACAAGACAAATGCTACCAACATTTCCCACATGCCCTAAATAGCTTACGTTTTAAAATGCAATGTTTGATTTGCGGTGTCTTCACGAAACTATCATGCTTAGACCCGGCAGAATTTGTCTCGCACCGGCCCTCGGCTTCAACGGCGTCGAAACACCTCTAAGAAGTCAGCCTGCATGACAACGCGCCGACGGATATTAGAGGTTTAATAAAAACAACGAGCTACCAGACTGAAGGTCCTGTTTTGCAACTATCCTTTTTTATCTTTCTTCGTAGTCTTTTTTCCTATTACTCTGCCAATATTCAGAAAGATAATAAACAACCCATTTTCCTATAAGGGGCATTGACTCATGTTGATGCAAACTCTGTCTCAGTGGGTCGAAAATTTTATCTCTGCTACTAGCGAGTCTAATTCCTTTGCAAATAGCTTTTCATTATCACTACGCGCCTTCCATCTAGTGTCGGTGGTTATAGTTGAGATGCACGTTCGAAAAACCCGCAGTTCAACAACCGCTGAGCCAGATGGTATCTCACCATTTCTCCTCTAGCCTTTGTCTACTCGGCTAACACCTGTTTAAACTCCTTTTATTGGCCTCTATTTTAATGAGTCAAGTATTTCTGTCGCTTGGTGGACTGGTGGAATTATCCCTAAAACATCCAATAATCCTAGCCTTAAAGTCTACCGTTAAATTGTTTATTTTTTAGTCCCAAAGTTATACGCTAAGCCATTCTCCACTCCTTCGGACCCCCTAACATTTGCATATGAGGTCAAGTGTGGTACCTTAGATGTCAATCTAGTGGTCCAATCTGCGGTCGGTGGCCTAGACAAGAGCTGTCGTGCGTACATAAAGAAAATGTACTATTTCATGGAATGTTAACCGAAATTCCGAAACATGTTTGTTATCCAAAAAGATTACTTCGGTAAGGTTGTAGTATTAATTGCCCTACAGCAGAGTCCCCAGATAGTTTAGTCATATTAGGAAGTCGAGCTTTGAGCGAGCTTCTTTTCGCCGCCTGTGTAAACTACACTCTGTGAAAAGTGATTACTTTAGTACGATTGTAGTATGATTGTAAAGGCCCTTATAAATTCAAATATATTTGAAAGGAAACACGGACAAAACATTCGGTCTTTTACGCGTTCCGCATCAAATAACGCCTTTTCAAAATTTTATACTTGAAGAAAGAGTACCCCATGATATTTAAATCTTATAAAGGCCGTGAAATTTCCACTCACAAAGCATCTTGTCTCTGAACTTCTTAATGCTGCTTGTAAGGTATAGAATGTGGTCTAAATTCAATGTTAAATTTTATTAAATCTATATGGTATCTTCTTAATAGCGCATGTAAATGCATGATTTTCCTTACACGGAGAACATGCAGCCTGAAGTTTGGGAAACCTGGAGGAAAGTATAACGGCGGGTCGCATTCAAAAGCATTAGAGATGTGAAAGCTATTTAAACCGGATTATGCTTTTCCTTCAAGCATAAAATTTGCAGACGCAATTTACTACCAAATGGGTAAAATAATGAATGTTCTTATGGATGTTTTCAATAAAATATGTCAAACGTCTAAAACCAACAGGATAAAATTCACCCTACTCAGGGAGTCATTTCTTGCAGTGTAGCTTATAGAGGCGGCCCATTGATACATTTCGTGACCTAACTTATGAAAGGTGTCGAACTTTATGATTGCTAGTCATTTGCAAACCGATACCAATGCACGAACCCAATATCTATGTTAGCAAACAACAGCTTTAAGAGATTTAAAAAAAAATAGAAATATCAAAAGCAATTTAAAGGCATTTGGGAAGGCCAATTTTTTTTTTAGAAAACCGGGGAATCCCGAAAACGTCAAAAATGGTTGTAATTTTGGCAAACTTCGGTCTTGTATACACAGAAGGCCTGCCAATGCAAAACACGAATAAATATGACGACAAATTTAGGATAACCTATGGAATTCATCTCTTGGTTGAATTCACACTTCGGTATCATTTAAGAATCAATGTAATTTTAGGTATGGCCGTTCGCCAGCAGCCTACATTCTGAGCACACATTCCAAAACGGTTTCCCAAGGATACGTGGTATTCCTTACGCTTTTGAATCGATTTGGATGCAGTTCAATAAGGCAAACAGGATTTTGCTTGATTTCGCTGATAGGGACATCGTAGGAACAAAAGTTTTCATAAGATCACATATTGCCAGGCCGGTCAGTGACTACTAAATTAAGATAGAATTGATGGGGTGTAATCAGTATCAGTATATTTCAGGGAATGTAGGTGTGTACCTTTGAAATCTCTATTGGTTACATGCAGAGGAAGTATATGAAGAAAATGGAACGGAAGTAACAGGAAATAAAAGCAGTGAGTATTTAGGCGCTCTTTTTCATGTAGGAGATCGTTTGGGTCACAGTTGAAGACCCACCCAAACAGTAAACTTCGTCGTCGAATAAAATAGACGTCCACTTCAAAAGTCAACAACGAATATGCTTTGATACTGAATTCCGTTGACAGGTGTCTATGTACTTTGCACTTTTACACAATGGAGCCAAGAAAAAACGACGCCTTTAGCCGTTTCTTTCACGTTGCTAAAAGTACTGTTATTTCTTTCCCATAAACGCAAGAACGTGCCTCTTCCTTTATAATGTGTTCATTTTCTCTATCTTTGCTCAGGCCTAGGCTCTATTCTACGATTGTGAATGCGCGGCAGAGTGGCCATATAAATACTGATATTTTGCTAAAACTGTTAGTGTTTTGCTTTTTTCGTTATTAAATAACGTTTGCAACAGTTAGACCTCGGGACAAGTAATGTTCCATTTGTTCGAAACCGAAAATGACTGTTCGACGGTAGCCATTTTTGTGACAACAAATATAGTTTCCCAAACGGCAAAACAATTTCAGTCTGTGTGCGTTTTTACTGCACTTTAAGGCACCACATCACATGGATTTGCAAATCTGACTTACAAATTGACAAAGTGTCTAATTCTTTCACGGTTAGCATCGGACAAAAAATCAATTTTCAAGTGCGGCAAGCTCTGTTTAGTAACTTTCACGAGTAAATTACTCTCCCCTCAAAGGAAAACACGCTCAGATGCGCAGCCGAAGTCTAGGACAGGTATTAGCATAGGAAATTGTCCAAATATATCGCGGCGTCCCTTATTGCTCAAATTTGTGAGCACTTTGCTTGATAAAATTACGTGGACACCGTTTCTGCACAAGACGGGGACATTTCCCTGAAGAAGCTGGACTAGCGAGTAGAATGTGTAATTTTTTAGACGTCCAGAAATTCTCGCATCGGTTTATTTCATAAGGTTTCATGAGGTAGGTCACGTACTGTACGACTATGCGGTCCTCGACTACACCTCTGCCTTCAGTACTATTCCCGGGCATCTTCTCATATGAAAAAACAGCCGGGTGCGGTTCTTTTGGCTGGACTACTTTTGGGCTTGCAATTATTTTCCTTGTCATGCTCAGATTTTCCAGCCTACCAATCAAAGGCTTACCCTTCTTCCCAATAAGAGCGCACCACTTCAGGAGGGCACTTTTCCCTCTCATCTCCCAATTCACTCTAATGACAAGAGATGGCGTGACTGTCAGTTAGGCTATTGTTGGATGCTGCCACTTCTAGAGACGTCCAAGCAACCGTCGTCACTATGGGCTAAACTACATTTGTGACGCGGATTTTGTTTTTGGCGATGGTGCCGTCTACGTGTGACAACCGCCCTTCAGATTGCTGCGACTGTAGCTTACTTACGGTCACTGCGTTCAGAGCATCGGTTACTGCTGGTCTCCAGGAGCCTAGGACTGGAAAGGCCGTGACCGGGCCTGGCCATGCCTTAGCCTCTGTAGCCGCAGAAGAGGCCACTGCTAGCATCACAGACACCTTAGTTTATGTCAGTGTCAGAGTCGCTGCAATAACGACCGCTGCAACTGTTTTTTCCTAGGCTCAGACGGTGGTAGTCCCTAAGAGTGTTTAGTGACCGTCAGTGTGCGGCAGATTGCGTGCATTTTTCCGACTTGTGAAATGCTAGTACTTGTGAAGGGGGATGCTCCTCCCTTCAGGTATAGGCAGCTAAAGTTTGGCTGCGAAATATAGAAAAAAACAACTAAACAAACTTCCTGAGGCGCTAGCAGGTGCCATAACTAAGAGATTTTAGTAGCACACAGTCACCGAAAATTGCTTAATGACAATCGCGAACTTATAAAGCGGCGACAGAAGCGGCGTTTAACTTTTGAAGTTTGTAATTTGTGAATCTAAAGACCGTGTTAAATTGCCATACCAACTGCAAAAATGGTGAGGTGCAGTTAGAGGCCGGAAATAGTAACGCGGTGAAAGTGACGGTAATCGACGAATTAGCCCAGAAATTCTAACGGACACAAAGACCGAGCTCCCAGACGAGTCGAATTGGCTTGTGGTGACAGCATGCTTACGAATACGTTCGTTAATCCGAAAGTCTCCGTCACGCGGGGGCGTCAAGTGTCTGGCAAACGCAGAAAGCGCGGAGGTGCAACAGGGCTTTTGTTTGTCTGACGTTTCAGACTCACTTTCCAACCCACCATCAAACAGCAATAGGTAGGATTAATGAACGTACGAGGTGCGCGGTATTTGTGGGGCACAGTTACTATGCAAACCACACGTACTGTATTTATCGCACCTGGTCGCAATTAATGGAGTGATTTCTTGATCGCTCGCGTCCGAGTGGTTAATTGTAGCAATTTCATGTGCAGTGTCGGTCACCAGCAATTTGATTCACTAACACTGCCACCGGAAGCGTGTTAGTCCGCGCGATTCCCATATGGGTTATCAGGCTGTTTAGGCACTCTGGACTCAGGTCAAGGTGCTGAGGGTGAGCGACAGAAAACCATGACTAAAGCAGCTCATAGTTCAGAGGTTTGTGACGCCTCGAAAATTTTGGGCTGAAGACCGGGTCTCGTCAAATAGGCCACAATCTAAAAGCTGTTTTTATTGCACCTCATTGCTACTGCAGCTTCGGCCATCCGTACCCACACCATGCACTGAAATCGGCGATGAATGCATAAGCTGCTAATCATGGTAACTGCGTGGTTACATAGTGACTGCATCCTACAAGTACTACGCATCCTAGTACTGAGCATCCATTAGCCTTGTTTGCCGCTGCCTCTGATGGTGGGTTCGAGTATGACTCCAACACGTCAGGCGAATAAAACTCTTGTACCAGCAGTCGCGTCTCCACAATTGCACTATTTTATGGTGGAGGAAATCAACAAAGAGAGTCAAGTTCGCACAAAATGGATTCAGGAATGCGCATAAAACCCTAGATTTTAACATTCCCTCACCAGTGATTGTTGAGTCTACCCATTTCTCGACGTTAAAAGCAGGTCCATTCTAAAAACCCTAAATCTGTACGGCAACGGCTATCTTACGAGTGACGCTGTTATAAAGATGACAAAGCGAATGAGATCCCCCATCCCACAGGCTTGCCGCAGGAACAAGGTCAGATGACCAAGTCTTCTTTCAAAATAGAGTTTTCACTGTGACTCTAACCGCCGATCTACATGCGTTTTAAACTCACTTTGCATGACATGCACTGAAGGACTGAAAACACCAAAAACAGGCACCGACCTGGGTCTACTAAAAGTTTGACCCTAGATGTACTGATTGAGATAATACGGAGTGAAGGTAGGTATGGACATACTTTTGTTTCGGATAGGCCGCGGGTTTGTGAAGGTGTCAGCAGTCCTTGTAGGAAAAATGGAACCTGTTCTGTCGTATGAAGGTTTCGGGGAACCTTAAGTTTCAAACAGACAAGATAGGTTGCGTAGCGAAACTAAGAAAATCGGAGTATGCAAACAGATGGGGCGTTTCGAACAAGCAAAGGCTTTCCTTTTTAGCTTAAAGCCAGGATAGCAAGCAAAGGACAATGCTGAGTACGGCACAGAAGAACTAGAAGCGGGGCTCTTTTGGCACGAAATGATACTGTCAGCAAGGAATTTCAAAATCGTCTTAACACTTAAGTCGCTAAATAAACTCTATTAGGAGCAGTGGGAGGGTTAAGTCGTGAAAGTTTTTCGCCTCTTAGTCATAAGAAAAGACGATATGGTTTCCGCCGAACATAGATAGTGTGATGACATGGATATAAGCCTGTCGGAGGACACATTTATCTCCAACTGGTGACTGTGTGACTTAGAGCAATGAAGTAAACAGAGAGTTGCCTTATGGGCTGGCGGCTGCTTTAAGGTCCCGTCACGAAGAGGTCTTGCCAAAACCTCATAATTTTTGACAGAATGTGCGGGAAGCGCGACTAGAGTTCTTCTCAATCCGCGTAGTGCCGTCCGCTGCTGATGTTCGACGACTTTACAGGTACATGACCCCTATTTCTCGTCGCTCTGCACGGGTTGAGATACAGTCCCTGTATCATAATCCCAGCAGCGAGTGCAATGGTGGGAGATGACAGTGGTCGCGTCTCAAAAAACGAAGAAGAGCTGGAAGTAAGCCTAACAGCTCGTAACTCATATCAGGTAATGGCAGGAATGCCCTTACTGTGCGTGGAATGAGGAAAAGATCTTAACGTACGCTTATGGACATCGCGAAGATGCCGACGAGCACTAAATTTGTCGGAAAACGGCTTCTTACATAGTTCGCAATGGTACTTCTTCGTATCTGAAAAGAAAAACCAAGAACTTCAGTCGAAGTAAGACATCAGTCGAAAAAGCCAAACACCATTGAAAGGAGCTGCATAGGGTCTTAATGGCGATACTATCTTCCAATAATGCGTAGTTTCGAAGCATTTGGAGCAGCGGCTACCGGTGCGTAACTGCGGGGACGCATAAAGTGCGACTATAAAAGAACTCTTCCTTGTTAATTCTCTACCAACTACGCCCCATAGTAGCGTAGTAATATCTATAATAAACAGGTGAAAACTCAGACAGCCTAAAACCCTAGTGTGTCTGTGCTGGCTGTTCGGGAAATCACTGGACACACACGACAGTTCGACCATCGTTACCGGCAATGCCCATCGTGTGCTCCACAGCAGGGCGAAAGCAGGAATGGTGGTCTGAGCGTGAGTTAGTTTCAAGTGATAGTAGACTTGTGCTGCACCTATCACACTCTCCTTCTCCCTTACCTGGGTCCCGTGCCAAGATAGAGTCAAAAAGACCGGAGGCGGGAGAGGGCGCAGGTAGCCGGCACAGCGTAGACCTGCACCTCGGCGTACCGTCACACTCCCTTATCCACAAAATACACAGACTAGAATTTTGCCGCAAGAGAAGAGAGGACTGCTGGGACATCACTAGGTGAGCATGTCACAGATGCCACATAAAGAAGCCATTGCAGTCGGCCACCCCACACAAATACACAATTGGTTGATTGCGGGGTCCGAGTCATCCGTTCAGTTGGCAATCTTTAGTGCACCATGATAGCTTCAAGCGCGTCAAATTGTATATACTGAGGAAAACGCGCTGAAGAGTCGGCCACACTCTCTATTTCTATTCCCAGACCCCAGCCATTGTCTGAGTCGGTAAGATATCTGGTGCGGGAAATGGGTGCAGTGGCTGTCAGAGGAGCTAGAGGGCTTGTCTGCGCGTGCCACATGCACGACCCGGCCCCCTAAATGCACACACTGGGATCACACACAAAGGGGTAGAACTTCAGATCGCACATGCAACAGAGGAGCCACATGGGGAGAGGAGCCGAAAAGTACACCTTCCACTTGCACGAGAGGTGCCGGTGAAGTGAGGTTCTGGAGGGTGCATGCGTAGTGTATGTGTTGATGAGAAAGCGCGTGATGATGTGGTCGTGTCTGTTGTGATTGGCCGCAGGCTTTGATGAATGCCTATGAGCATACGTGGGCTGAATTATTGTTTACGTTTGCGGCCATGAATGCTGTGACAAAGTGAGTTCTTAGGTTGGTAAAGTACCGACTAACAGTGACGCCAAATGTGGCGAGAGGCGGGAAGTACAATCAGACTGGGATGAAGTCAATTAAAACCCGTCATTTCGTACGAAACAGTTTCTGATAAAGGAGCTCTGCCGACAGTCTAATCCGTCAAAAACGACGATTCCAACTAAAACCCTAAGATTGGCTTGTGGCACAGATGTTTTTCGTCTGATATACCAGTACAAACGGAGAAAGTGTGCGGGTATAGGCATGGCGACTGGCAAAAATGCGTGGGTAAAAACACGTTTAAATGGGGGTTCAGTCGCTCGAACCGCAGGTAATATTGCTTTACAACCGTACAGAAGGAAATTGGTGAAAATGCATAGGTCGCGTGAAGGGGAAAACCAGAAAAGGTGGCAAGAAAGACACCGTAAATGGGGATTCAAAATATACAGACGAGCCACAGCGACTCACCTAGGTGAAGATTTAACACGTGCCTGCGAAGCTCTCGAGGACGAACAAACTGCTTGGCACAAATCGGACACTGATTGACACGTTTTCCTAGAGAGAAGGTAGGCGAAAAATTACCCCGACGAGTCTTACATTCGATCTTTTGAGGTTGTGATGACATACCGCGAGGCCTTACCCTTATGATAGAAGTCGTCATGCTTCTGGAGGTTCGACTTCGACGCCAGGACTTTCCCACACTCGGGACACGGGTAGTGGCGATTGCCTAAAACAGGCGACTTGTCAGAGCAAGGCCAAAAAAGGGAGAGGCAGATTTAGAATGAGCTTACTTCGATGAATGCAGCGAATGTGCCTCTGTAGATTCGAATGGACTGAAAATGTCTTGCCACAGATTTCACATGAGTACTGCTGAGGGGCTAAAAAAAGGTTGGAAAGGTAAGCCATGATAAGTGAAAAGCATGAAAGCGCAAGAATTTAGGCAGGCTGATTAAGAGTTTCTTGTCATGTGTGCGGTTATTAGAGAGACATACTGCACCAAAAAATTTAGTGTATTAAGAACACCAAGTACTGCCGATACATCCTTTTAAGAGGTCCAAGTAAAGGAATTTAAGAGTACACCGTAATTACGGAAGAGTCGGCGTTTAGGTGGGAAATTCCTAATACCTGGAACCATACAACCAAGTTGGCCAGGCTCAAAGAACATAAACAGCATCAACTGACAATTTAACAAAATGGTAATCACAAGAACCGGCGCCAAAGACTTCGGAATGAGTACAATAGAAAAAACAGGACCCTTAACTACATGAAACGCATGAAAAACGTAGGCAGTCGACTGTTTTAATATCTCACAAGAATTCCTATTCTGACATTTTAAAGTAACTAAACGGTCTTGAATCCGACGGATAAAATAACAGCGATCCAAACTGTAAATAAATCAAATGCACCTACCTCTTACATCTACGCCAAAAATGCCCTATCAAAGAAGGCAGAGGGCTCTATCAAAACTGTCCAGCAATATTCACCTTTAGACCATGTGCAGCACCAAGTGCACTGCAATCGGTCGAGGCATACTCGACGAGTGACGATAATCACATATTTTAGTGCTAAGCTTAGATGCTGCTGGGAAAGCCCTTCCCTACAAATAGGAATAATCAATCCCGGAGCATCGGAGAAAGGCGATTTTTAAGGGGAAGAAAACAGAAGATGCGAAAGAGGACGGAGCAGACTTACTAGAATTATCGCGAGTTTCTTGAGGATGCCTGAGGGGCGTCTGCGGACAGCCGTTCATGGTCACAAATTCCCTAGCTGCGCAGACAGTAAAGACGGGGAGACAGAAACTATGGGATTATTTCTAACTTTATCGAAGTCTTCCTTGCTCTCCCAATAAAAGCATTCTTAGAAATGATGAAAGAAGCAGATTTGAATGACGTCATTAAGTTCCACAAACACAAACTCGACGATGTTAGTTGCGCATTGACAGGAAGTTTTGGATTGCATGGAAAAGACATAATGTAGAAATTCGAAAATTCCGCTGCGTTATTATAATAAACACCTGTAGACAGACCGGTAACCAAGACCCGCTGCTATTTATCACGAAAAAGAAAAAGAATGAAAATGCGTTCACGCCAGTGAAGCGAGTCATCAGTTATTCGTAATATGACTATCCAGGAGATAGCGTAAGACCACAGGCAGTGGAGGAAAATACATGATTGGAGTAGCCGCACTAGTTGTCTTGTATCTTGAAAAACTGCTACACGGACAACAAAAGCGAGTATGCAGGCCTCTTCGTACTGTAATGAACGGCGTCTTGGTCTCGCTGTTACGACGTGAATAGTCAATAAAAGCGTAGATGTCGTTCGAAGCAACCAATTAACAGGCTGGAAATTATGTCAAAAGGTTTAGCAATGCTGGTAGAATTGGGAGGTAAAAAAGGAATGATACTCCGGAATTTTGACGTTTTGAAAAGCATTACTATGATTTCACTTAGGGGCGCACCTTATGACGCGATGTTATAACTGTATTAACCCTCAATTGCTTCTGTCCCAAAGGGAAAAATTGTACTTTTTGCCGGTTTTAAACAAATCTGCGAAATAGTTTGTATTGGAAAACCGACTTCATTAACTAGAACCTGCTGTGACCGCGTGTACACGCGGACAACCTACGTGGACAAGGGTTTTGCACTACCTGCTATTCATTGTCATTTTATGGTGTTGCGGTGCAAGCAATAAGCTTAACGCGAAGAAATAACAACGAACCATGGCCTTAGCTAACAAATAAACTGAAATCCCGTTCGAAAAGAATACGACGCACCTTTCGGCATTTTACGAGCATACAAAAGATTGTGGCAACGGCACAGATATTTTTTGATTATTAATGCATTTAACATATTTTATAAAACTGTAAAGGCAAAAAGTGCAGAATTATTATCACAGAAAGGCAGCGATGGCCTCCACTGACGGGCTGGCACCAGCGAACCCTAGTAACAATAGATATGGAGTAGATATACGTGAGGGTCATATCATTCATGCAT